ATGGCTTCCATATACCGATTAAAAGCAAAAAACTGCTGCGAATTTAGGATAACTAGAAAAAGGTAATATATTGATATAAACCCGAATAAAAATGAGCAAAGCTTTAGATATGCATTCAGACTAACAATAAATTCCATAAATAAAGTTAACAAGAACGAGTTACCTTATGATTTTTATATAATGAGATGACTTGATTGTCGAACTAATCCGTAGTGTTAAACTAACACTAATACATCGGTAGAAACAATGAAACGGTAATAAGCTTCCCTGGTTAACTGTAAGGAGATCATATTATCAATGATTGACTTAATATCTATCGATTACTGCCTTGTCTAGCTAGCAATATTATTCCAATTTATGGTAATTATTTTGGAATGTTGTTTACATAGAATTTGAGATAAATCTGATCAGCCCTTTTCAAGCTAACCGTGTCTTCTGTCCATTAAAGATTATGGGCTTGTTGTTATAAAATTTCTTGCTTGTTGTTATGCAAATTTCTTCTTAGAAAAGAAATTTTAATTTAACTGCAATTTCTGCTTTCTTCTAACTCACCAGCAGTTGCCTAAGTTTTGCTTAGGTTTTATTTTATTTTTTTCTCTCAGGTGAAACGGCTGAGGTCGTTAGTTGCAATAGCCAAAGTGTTTCCAATCAAAAACAATACTCGATAAGAACCTAATAAATACTTAACAAAAGCATTTATAAGGACTAGTGAGCCGATTAAAATTTGCATTCATTCAACGTACGCTCATTTACTTACTCCTATGATATGAACTTTCGAATTAATTAACCCTATATCAAATATTAGGGAGAATACCACTAAGTTTACCTAATATTGTTAGATATGTTCTTTGGCTATTTTAGTATAGGCAAACCCAAGTGTGGCACTGAATGTAATGATTTACTGGAAAATCCACTGAGATTCGGACCAACTACGAGCTACTATTGATGAAAAATCTGCTTTTAAATGGTGGCTTCCTGGTCAGATGACGTCTGAAGCCATACATTCACAGACTATTCCTTTGCTTGCTTATACACACAGAAATAATTAAGTTAATTATGAACAGCACTATATGACTGACCATTAAGTACACAACACAACACCTCTTTTCCTAATATAATTATTAGTTTGGGGAAAAAGAAATCCGTTATTTTTATATGAACTTCAGGACTTTATTTAACATGCTTCGGATTGTCCGATTTGGGTCAAATATGCACCGTTTTGTTGTATGATTTGTTGCCATTTTAAAGGTAACTTCAAAATGCCTCTCTCATAGAAGTCCTGGTCTCTATTTGCAAAAAACTCTAGTAGTCGATTTTCACAATCCTCCCTAGATTCCAATTTTTTATCATTAAAGAAATTTTGCAATGCAAGAAAAAGATGATAATCGCTTGGTGCCAAGTCCGGACTGTATGGCGGATGCATTAAAACTTCCCAACCAAGCTCCCGAAGTTTCTGGCGAGTCACTGAAGATATGTGTGGCCTAGCGTTGTCCTGGTGGAACACGACACCTCTCCTGTTGGCCAATTCTGGCCGTTTCTGGTCAATCCCTATCTTCAAACGGTCCAGTTGTTGACAGTAGAGATCAGAATTTAGGGTTGGGCCATATGGAAGCAACTCATAATAAATAATCCCATTCCAGTCCCACCAAATACATAGCAAAACCTTCCTGGCCGTTTGAGGTGCTTCACCGCTCTTTGACCACGATCGTTTTCGCACAGGGTTATCGTATGTGATCCATTTCTCATCTCCAGTCACCATCCGTTTAAGAAATGGGTCTATCTCATTCCGTTTGGCCAAGGCTTCGCAGATGGAAATTCGATCCATCATGTTTTTTTCTGTTAATTGATGTGGCCCCCAAACATCGAGCTTCTTTCAACTTCGATCATTTCTCCGATTTTATCCACATTTTCGACGACCGGCCTACCTGTGCGAGGTGCATTTTTAACATCAAAAATTCCTGAACGGAATCTACGAAACCAAAATTGCACATAATTGGCTGTTACAGTATCGGAACCATAAACACCATTCACAATTTTAGACGCCTGGCTTGCATTTTTGCCTTTGTCAAAGAAAAACTGTAAAATGTACCGAATTTTCTCTTTGTTCGCTTCCATTTTTAACACGCTGTAACTCACAACTGAATGCACCAAACAAAAAACAGCAAAAGAATTTGTTTTACTGCGAAATGTCACCTTTCCAACGAGCATAAATCTGAAATTGTTTGATCGATACTTTACGAGAAATCTATCAGTGCAGCCATCGACCGAAAAAATAATGGATTTCTTTTTCCCCAAACTAATATTCATAATATCTTATAGTTTACCGTATAAGAATTTTTCAAGATAAGACCGCATTGATCTTGCGCCAAAACACGTCAGAGTACCTCAAAATTTGGCGACCTACAGATTGAACATTAAAAAAAACATGAAAGGGTGTCAGACTGACAAACGGACCGAGGGACGGGTTACATCACTTTAGGAAGTGATACGCAACATAATTCTAAATGGAAGGGGTATCTCAACTCCTTCGAACAATCTTTATATACCCTATGCTATAGATAGTGTATGGTATAGAAATTTCAACAAAAAAAAAACAAAAAGCCCCGCCGTGCATATCTTGTGTTTTCAAACTGTGGAATTTCAACGAATTTCTCTGCTTTTGGAATATAACAATGCCTAACTATGTGCAGTCAAGATTGTTCTCGATATTGTCAACGGAGCAAAAAAGCACTCCCTCTTACTTTATTTCTATAGGTTTTTTTTTTTTTTTTAAGAAGAATTTTGCTTGTGCCCCTTATATGAAATCAAACCGTATTATAACTTTCGAGCTTTTACTTCATTTAAGTATTTTATTTTATTCCTCCTTTGTGTGTACATATATATATATATACATATATATTTATCTATATGTGCAAAACACAACTTTCCTGTGTGTGTGTCTGTCCATATAGACAATTGTTGATAATTTTCTACTTTAAACTATAACGAAATTGTATGCCGTCATCACTTGTTGTTGTCAGCAAGGACAAGTCAAGTGTAACCAACTTAAACAAATGTACACTCAGACAAATTGTTGAATTTTCGTTGTTGCCATTTTTCTGTTACTTATGCACATATCTATATATATATATATATATATATATATACATCTGCATATAATATTAGCTGCCACTGAGTAATCAAAAACATCCATTACCACTCAAAGGCATTGTTGATCCCTAACAACAGAACAACTCACGCCCAACATATGATAATAAATGAAGAGGAATTCAGTACTTTTACTATTGTTATTGTTGTTGTTATTGTTGTTGCTGTTGTCGTTGTTGTTATTGTTGCTATTGCCGTTGCCGTTGCTGTTACTTTTTACGTAGACTAGGCTAGACTGTCTGACTGGTCGTTGGTTGTTTGTTTGATTTGATTTGTTTTACTTATTTGTGTTGGTATGCGCAAAAATATATTCTGGGGGAGGTTGTAGCATAAAATTGCTTTAAATATGCAATTTAATGTTAGCATTGTTGTCATTAATGCATTTTTATGCAACATTTGCACAAAAGTCTCTTTCTTTCTCTCTCTCTCTCTCTCTCTCTCTCTCTCTCTCTCTCTGAACACTTTTCTCTCTACCAATGTGCGTTTGATTTTAGTATCTCTTGTTACAAAGTTCTACACTTTTTTCTATTGAATCGTTGATTGAATGGCTTCGCTTAGCTGAGTGTGTACCTGCAAATTTATATACAAGAATGCCTAGCTTTGCGTTGAGGTTTTTAAATCGTTTTTTTATTGCAAAATAAATTAATATATTCTTAGGAGGGGACTATGCGTGCCTAGTTCGAGCATTTAACCTGGCTGGACCTGAATCCTTAAAAGATTTATCTCGATTTCCGTCCCAGTATGCGATCAACCCTAACGCAGAGCGGTTGGAAAAGTTAAAACTTTCTCAAGTCGAAAACTTTTGTTATCGAACTTAATTGTTGAGCAGTTCTCATTTTATCTCTGTCGAACACTTAAAAATTGTGAACTGTAGGGTGAAGAAGAGAAAACAAGACCGACGGTTGGACAGACACAAGCGGTGCATGACATGAAACAATTTTCTTTGTTGAAAAAAAAAGAAAAAAACGAAATATCACACATAACGAGACTGCTTACAGTCTTTGGTAATTTTTTTCAGCGCATTTATATTCACTGCTCAGCGTTTGTCCTTGAGCCAGAAAACATCGGTGCAGTAAATTTCGTCAAAAAATCCCGAAAATTGCGATCTATAGGTTGAACAATAGAAAACAAGGCGGAAGGACGGACGGATGGACCCTGGGTGTTTTATACATTCGCACAAACTTAACATACCCTTGCATTACAAGCGGTGCATCACAAAAATTACGATTTATAGATTGAATATAACGAACCAAGACGGACGGACAGACAAGCTTCAATCAATTCTGAAAGTGACTCTGAATCGTTCGATATATTAAAAAAGATAGACTCATCCCAAACACTTGTGAATATTTTGTGCATCATCCACATAAAACCCCCCCTTTCACAATATATATATATATATATATATATATAAATCTTGTAAAGAATCCATACGAATCGATTTTATGTTGTTGTGTATTTTTTGATCGAGAATTTTGTTACAAATAATTTTATTTTTAAAATGCTTTAAAATATGTTAAAATGGCTTTTGTTTTTCTTTTATGCAACAGTTTGATGGCCAAGTTGATGTAGATATAGACAATCTAAACCGAAACACATTCATTCTCATACGCGATCACCTCCCACTATTCCATATTAATTTTTTTCTTTATTTACTTTTTTATTAGTTTTTTTTTTTTTTTTATTTTTTTTTTTTTGTCGTTTATTTCGTTTTCGTGCTTCTTCTTTATTTTGATAACCATGGATCTTCCTTTATTTGCGGTATACGATATCTCATCTTGAGTGGCGCCAAGATATGCATAATTAAATGCTTGCATTCGTTCGTGACGGCGGGATTTTTTGGGAAAACCAAAGAAGCATTTATGCGTTTTAGTAGAACGTGAACGTTAGATCCATCATAAGGTAAGCGACCAAAGACCATGGCATAGCAAACCACACCACAAGCCCATACATCGGAGAGAAAGGGATCATAGGCAACACCTGTTGATTTATGATAAGAATCTTTTCAAATATAAGCACACCTTGTTGTTGTAAAATATGCCGTATTTGCAGAAGAAATCTGTTTAATACCTTTAAGAATTTCGGGACTCGCATAGGCATAACTGCCGCAAAACGTTTTCGATAATATCACCTGATTGTCGCTACTGCGTGTATCCTTACGGGCAAAACCAAAATCGATCAGTTTTATATTCCAATTTTCGTCCAATAAGAGATTTTCACATTTTATATCACTTGTGTCAAAGGAAAGCTATATTATCATATATAACAAGTCGGCTCTGAACTAAATTATCACTCACCGGTGAACCACACCCTTGGAGTGTATATACTCCACAGCACTGATGAGCTGTTTAAACAAATTCTTAGCCTGTGGTTCATCTAGATATTTTTTATCTCTTACATAGTCCAGTAACGTGCCGTTCTCGGCCAATTGCATAATCAAATAGACTCTGAAATATACATAAGAGAGATTAGATCTTGCGCGAGACATGAACCGCCCATTACCTGTGACTGGTCTCGATACTCTGATAGAAGGTGATCAAGTTTTCGTGATGCAATCCTTTAACGGCATCAATTTCGCGCGGTAAGAATTTTTGTATGTACTCGGACGGCGCTTTGACTTTTGATATAATTTTAATTGCCACTCGTTTACCGTATTCTTCCGAATAACCAATTTTAACTTTGGCATAATTACCGGCACCAATCACCTTTCCAATGACAATGCCATGCTCTTCCAATATCGATTTGCCTTTGCCCGTTTTACTCGATTCGCCATCGTCTACACTTTTCCTAGTGCTACCCGATGGCTTCTCTCCTGCTTGTCCACCCGTTTCCTTCTTTTCCGTAAATGTGAAAACTTTCTTTGTATTGCCTTTCGATGCCGCGTTAAGATCGTCCGCTGATTCTGGATGTTGTGGTACTAGTTCTGTGTAAATGAAAATTACTTTGTCGGTGCTCGTTGTGTTATGTACTTCAGCTTCGGGTTCTACTCACTGCTTATTGATTTTGTAGAATGCGTTTGCTGCAAGGCCATTTAACTGCCACACGTTAAATTTTGATTATCCTTCAAAATGTTTTCTTTTTTGTGATTCGTTGCCTCCTCAACGATTTTCTAAATGTTTATATTTGATCGTTGACATAAATGTTCGATTTTGATACATTGAATTTAGAGCATGAGGAGTTTTTCAAATATTTCAAATCCCAATAAAGCAAAACACAGACACAACCTATGTATACATAGGATCGTCAAATCGCTATGTATACGAAAAAGAAAGCGGCTATCAAAGCAAAAAAGAAACTAAACTACGCAAATATATTCAAACAATCAATAAATTTACTATTTTTTAATGAAATTTCGAAATAAAAAAGATATTTTGACATTAAACGATTTTTAAATCATTGCTATATTCATGCACATATACATAGATATATATGTATGTATATCTGATAAGGTTTTTCTCCCCACATTCTCAAACATTCAAGGAATATATTAAAACTCGTTCCTTTTTTAGGTTTTTCTTTCGCTTAAATATACCCCTGTATTTTTATATGCATACCATACAACTTGTATATATGGATCTTGGGAAAAGGTAGTCCAATTAGCAACTCGATATTAAGACAATATCGTTTTTTTTTTTTTTTTTTTTAAAGATATATAATGATATATATGTAAATAATATAAATAATCCGCCTGAGTGACCGAGTAGGCAAGAGACTCGACTAACAACTCAATGGTCGTGCGTTCAAATCTCAAGTGTGGTAGATAAAGCCGAAATCCTTAGATGCTAATGCTTTAAGACTTCAGTCCTAGAATTTATTCTCTGGCTAAATTTATAATAATAAAAATAATAATAAATAATATAAATATATAAAGATATATATACAAATAAGTCTCCATATATATATGGATTTTGTGTTTATTCTCTCATTTGATTTTTTTATTAATATTTTTGAAAAAATTTGTTAAATATTTATAAAGGCTTTAGTTACATTTGGATTAAGCCCTTATAGAGTGCTATTTGTATTCGGGTTAGAGAAGATGAGTTAATCGAAAAATGTTTTGAAAAATAATCTATTAAGACTGGAAAGACTGAAACTTGATATATTGCTATATTGGCCGAGAGTAGTCGAAATGACATCCTTGGGCAATCTAGTGTTAAACGGTCACCTTTGCCTGCAATAGTTTAAATTAGATTCAATAAATAACCTGAGTTTATTAACCAAACGATAAAGGCGTACATCTATCTCTTGTTAATGTGATCTTTACTGCGCTTAGGTCAATTTGCAATAATTTCATCATTGTATTATAATATCATTTCCACAATAGTGGTGACCTTTCATTTGATTGAGACCCTTTTTCAAGTCTTCTACAATTAAACTAAATGTAGTTTTGAGGATTATCAATGAAGCGTGTAAAGCTTCAACACACTGGACAATGGGTTAATTCAACCATTATTTGTACCTATAAGCCGCTTACGTTTAATTCGCGCATAGATAGCATGTTCAGTGATATTAACCGACACAATGTAGTCGATTATGGCAGAGCTTATATGTCGATATCGGTTACAATACTAATCAAAATTTATTTATCTTTGTTTGATTGGCAGAAAGAAATGGAGAACAGAGATATATAATGGCCGTAGACTAGCAACTGCATGCGCAATAGGTAAGTCTAGGTAAGCCTTTACTGTACTTGAACTGCGATGGAGTACGCTACACTGCACTGGCATTTAAATCCGCAAACAATGGCTTGCTAGCCACGACTCGGCTATAAGGCTAAGTTAAAAGAAAATACTTCTAAATCAATGAGAAATTTTTTCAAGTCAAAGGAGAGGACCTCTGAGTGAAGGAAAAGAGGGAGTGATATTGAGATCAGTAGTAATATCTCATAATGCTTAGTTATGTGTATGTACAATCCATACAAGAATGACTGTGTGTATGACGTTTCTCGAACGCCCGGCGGCTTCTCTATTTTTCAAATTTTCCAAGTACATCCGTCGAGTGTGGCGACTTTAATGCTAATTTGAACTTGAGTGATTCGCATGCTTAATAACTGTGTGATTCGATATTATCCGTGGAATTAAAATTAATAGATTCTTGCTAAACACATTACGCTCACTACTGCACTACTCCTCGCTCTTGAATTTCTTTTGTGTTTTCGGAATGTCTCCAATTTTACGTTATGATCGCTCCTACATAGAGACATAAAATCAATCGACAAGCTCCTGCTAAGAACTGTCTCCCCAAAACTCTGCTGGGAAAAGGTTCAAAACTTTGCTAACGTTAGTGGTAATATTTCTTATAAGAAGCTCATGCGGCAATTAAGACTTGTACCGTTAATTCTTCTATCAGTTACTATTAACTAAAGTTTTACCTTCGTTCCGGCGTTTTGCGCCGAAGAGACTTATTGAGTTTAACCCGAAATATCGCCATGAACGGCTTATGGTTGGTAACTCTTTTTCCGAACTGCGTAAGGGAACACAGTTTTGTAGCATATTCATGAATTATTTAGTGACATAATGTCATTATTCCAACAATCACTTATGCCTGCTCAAATCTATCTATCAGGTCGACAGGGTTTCTTAGAGCATTTGGTTCAACGAATCAACGAAGACATAGATGGCACCCAGTAAAATTCAGCTAAAATCAAAACCATTCCATCATCTTTCTATTTACGTTTCCGAATCGCTACCACGTGTCGAAATTGTAGACGAGAAAATAGAAAAATTTCGGCTAAACGTTGATGTTCTTTCCAATTTTGCTGTGATGCGTGTACCTAATAGGTCGAGAAAACTTTGGCTGAACCTGAGTCTCTCTCTCTCTCTCTCTCTCTCTCTCTCTCTCTCTCTTTATCTATCTATCTATCTATCTATCTATCTATCTCTTTCTCTCTCTCTATCTATCTATCTATCTATCTATCTCTCTCTCTCTCTCTCTCTCTCTCTCTCTCTCTCTCTCTCTCTCT